ATCTCTGAATTGTTCCTCTTCAACATGGTCCTAATACTGTGCTTTACAAACAAATCTGCCCTTTAAAAACTTTATAGTAAAAATATTCAGTCCATGTTTCAAACCACAGCAGATCAAACGATTTCATCCAGTCTTGCTAATGGATTTCCCAGTGTAGGTAGAACACATACATCAAACCACTTTACTCACCAATTAACCTTCCCCCCTAATGGATCCTCATGAGACACTCTCAAAGAAAAATTATATATTTAAATCCTATGATTGCAATATTTTTGCTTTCATCTACCTTCACTCGCATTAATCTGGGGCTGCATAAAAGGGGAGATATTTTAAGAAATTCTAGTGGATCACTTGAGGTTTGCCTCATCTCTGTCAACAGAAGCTTTGTAATGAGTAGTTACACTAAACACTTCTTTCCTGATCTTAAACCAACTGCCTCCAGTTCTCTCTCTCTCGCTTATTTTCTCACCCACACATCCACTCTTTCGCTCAGTAACTGTCACCCTGTCCACACACTGCCTACATACAGTGGCGTCCATTACAGAAATCTCTCTTTGTGTAACTCTTATCTTTCCCTGACTCTGCAGCATTTCCTATTTAAAAGCATTGTGAGGTAAAACTGAATATGGCATATTGTAACACAAAACCCCCACAGCCCAAAGTGTCAGGTTTCCTACGAGGCACAATCTGAGAACTTTAAGTTTCCGAACATTTCCTTTGGAGTGCAGCAGCAATTAGCGACCGGTCGGTGCTTTCAGGAAAGAGTAATTTCTATGACGGCTACATCTCTAGTTCCTTCTTAAAAAACAAATATGTCTGCACTGACAACTGAGAAAAAAGGTTGTTGTATCTGCCAAATATCCACTAGTGGCTGTATACATAACTTAGAATAGAAAGAAGTGAAATGACATAAAATCTGAGGTCTTCACACAGTTATTTCACAAATGTACATCTTCTGAGCAATGGCGATCATTCAGTCCGCACACCGATACCCTAAACTATGTCTATAACAAACATACAACAAACATACTAAACAGACGCTTAAATTTCAATTTTTATATATTAAAAGCTCTAAGAAAGGCAGCAAAGATGCGCAATAAGGCAGATCCATATATGACACACTCCGGAGAACACGCTCTACTCTGGCACATTTACACAGATGGATGAGATGGATCTTTTAAAGGGCTTCAGTTGCTCTCTCTCACAAGTTGTTTAATTAGGAAATCTGTCAACTAAAAAATACAAGAAAGTGACAAAAACTACAAGGGAGTGGAAATGATGAGAGAAATAAATTTAGGGTATAAGGCCAAGTGGCCTTTGTTTTGAGGTGTAAATGCATACTAAATTAATAAGCAAAGGGCATATGTAGTTAAAGTCTTATGCATGGATAGAGCTGCTATGGCCAGGGATCGGTTATTGATCAGTGATTGTCGAATTGTCCCTTGAGCGATCAAAAAAAAGGGTTAAAAAAGGAATCGGAACACGTGAGAGCTAAAATCTTTTCTGAGGAAATGGACAAAATCTCCCTTGTACAACTTGACGATCATGGATTAATTAAATATACTTTGAATACAAAACTCTGCTCTGATGGTATAAAAAATGGACTGCATTCATTTCTTAGCCATGGAGAAATCAACACTGACGCAGGTTTAAAGGAATAATACGTGAGGTGTCCATACAGCATGCATTCATAAGCATCAGGTGAGGGACGTTGGCAGCTGCTTGTGTGTGAACAAAGCTGAGTCATTTGAAATCAATATAAGATACTGTGAACCATTTTACAGAAAGTATAGCACTTTATCTCACTGTTACATGTTGACGTAGTCCTTTTCCAGAACAATGAATTGTGTCTCCTCCGTCTTTGTGTGTCTAAACACGATGTGCATGTGTGTGTGTGTGCGTGTGTGTGTGTGTGTGTGTGTGTGTTTTTACAATCTTAATCAGGATCAGAATGTGTGTGCGATCTTGTGGTATGAACTTATTTTTCCAGTTTAGCTGCTGAAAAGTATCAAGTCACCACCATCTTCTTTCCTGAACTGGAGACAAAAGCAACATGTAGCATCTAAATCACTGAGTCGGCTCAGGTGGATCCACTCGTTTCAAATCACTCGTCGGATTCAGTTGGTTTGAAGCTTTGTCGTGTCCGTTCTGCTTGGCCTGCTAATCAAGGCTGATTGACAGCAGAGAGACCCATTCCCTCTCAGGTCGCTAAAAAGGTATCCTCAGCCTCTTATTGGACCGCAGAAAACTCCAGGAAACCGCCGGCAGCCCGCCGTCATCACTGGCCCCTTCCTCCCTCTGCGTCGTCAAGGCAACCGTTGAGGCAGTGGTCATCGCTCCCGAAAGCACCCTGGGACTGGAGCAGCTCGTACTCCTGGTCCAGGAAGTCTAGGCTGTTGTTGCTTGGCAACCCACGGATGGTGAACTTGTGGGACACTTTGGTCCACTGCTCCCGATTTGCTGCCACTCGCTCATACAGCTCAGTGGCCCCAGGAAGCAGTTCAGACAGCAACCTGAGAGGACAGAGGACAGCCATTTAAGATACCATGCAGTCACTTGTTATTTAGGACTTCATAACAAGAGGCTTCCAAATGACGACTGTGCATTAGTCCCAAATTAAAATGTGTGAATTATAATTGAATAAAATACTTTTTATATATATTTTATAATATCTTTTTATATTCTTGCATGTTTACTTTTCAACTACTGTTCAACTTCTTCTTCTTCAATTCAATTAATCTTCTTTTTACACAGCATTTATTTGTGGAATTAAAAACCATTAATAGTGGTATTTTTGGCCACTAGATGGCAGTTGAACAAGCTGTAATCACAACTTTGACACATAATCACCATGTAAAGTTGACATGGAAAATGTGTTTGCCTAATGAACACAAGTGAAATATTCATTCTTGTTAACTTGGTTAAGGAGGTTATATTTTTCCCCGTCTGTTGGTTTGTTTGTTTGTCAGCAGGATTACACGAAACTTGGTGAAATGATGGGACATGGGCCAAAAATTAACATTTTTCGCACGGATCCAGGAATAATTTTTTCCACTTTCTTTAATATTGTAAAATTGAGGCTTTTTGACATTTTCACCAATTTCCTAGGCAATAATTCATGAATGAAAAAAAATCTGGAATATTTAGAGGACGTATATCTATGACTGTGTGCGATGATTGAATTTAAGGGGACTGTTGAACCTTGGCAGAGGTATGTGCTCTACTGAGTGTCATTCTAGTTATATCTGTCTTCCTCTCCACCAGCTCCTGAGGGACATATCTGGCTGTTAAGCTGCTAAATGCTCCAGTGTGTTTGCTTGAAGGTTGCTAACTGTGCCTGTCTGTCAGCTGGTACTGAGTCTACGATGTGTTCTTAAATCTTTTTTACTAAAAACAGCTGCTTGAAACAACTTGATGATGATGATGATGATGATGATGATGATGATGATGGGGGAAGTGAACCAAAACAGTCAAAAACATTCCATCAATCAAAAACATTGACACATGTCTGCCTTTACTCCAAGAGAACGTGTTATATGACTGAAGTGATGAGCGTAGGAAGGATGTCATGTTTTTAGTTTCTCATATACGCACTTGTAGATGGGCATGGCGATATGTTCCATGAAGCTGATCTGTAGTTCTGGGATGTACGCCTTTTCTCTGTCCATCATCTCGCTGGGCCTGTTCCCCATGGCTTTTTCCTTTATACACACGCACACACAGACATGAGTAATGAGCTCACTATTGTGTAAAATGACACACGCTGCGGCCACTGAATAATTTCACATGTCATTTAACAGGTAGAATACACAGACACATACCAGGTCTCCTTGAGAGAAGAACTCTTTATAAATCAGCTCCTGTGGACACAGAGGAACAGACAACTCTTATTGTTCATACAATGATTAAGTTCCACATAAAACTGACTGACAGAATAAAACAGCAAATATGAAGGGTCTACAGTTTATTTTTCCTTATAAGCTCTGATATGAAAAACTACTTTAGATTTTAATTTCAAATTTACGATGAGCATGAATCTCCTTTGTAACAACACATTATAAATAAAACCATATCTAATGTAAACCTGGTGTATGTGCATATATCTGGGTGTTATTGCTTTAGGAGACAATTTGTCAGATTTGTAAACATTAATGTAACTGGATTATGCTGAATCACAGACAAGCTGTGCTCTCAGACAAAATGTCATTACTATTTATAACTATTCAATATTTTGTGCAATTGCTGTTTTTCATTAATCCCCATTGGGACCAATACAAACCAGACATTGCAGAATAATTTGCACAGAAATGCATTTTCCATTTTGGGGGCAAGGATTACAGGGCATTTGCTGCAGGTGTAAAGTATTTGCAGATTTGGGTGTTGGATTTAGGACAAGGGTCAGGGGCTTGGAGTGGAAAAGGGGGCAGACCAAGATTAAAAATAATCCTTAAATGGAGTGCAGTTTCACATAAGAGAGCGTCATGGAATATAGACTGAAATGTTGTTTTCTATTGCACAGCTTGGCATGTCATGTCTTTATTGTCCTAACAAAAATCACAAAAACAAAAAATACAACAACTACACTTCTGCATCTTGTACCATATCTTAGACTGTAAATAAAGATGGACAACTCATCTCTACTGAATTGAATATCCCAAAAGGTGCAGAACCCGATATGAGGCCATTCGGAAGTGTACAGAGTATATTAGTACAACCAAAATAACTGTGGGCTTACTCATATCCTGTTGTGTTACTGCTTGGATGTAAAGCTGCTATTTGCCAATATGGTGATAGATTAGTCTATTTGCTATAAATGATGAGTCTTTGTGGTTTGTGGTTACACTTGAAAATAAGCAGAATCTACAGAGGTGTATGGACGTCAACTGACAGCGATCTTTCGTGTGGTTTTCCAGCCCTTGGTTTGGTCTGACAGGTCACATGACGTCATCAACAGGCACAGCAGCATGGAGCGGTGGGTTTGGCTTTTGGGATTGTATCCATCTGAAACACACACACACACACACAGCTCTATTCATGCTGCATTTGCATGATCATGCTGGAAGTAAATCAGACGAAGGAAGGAAAGGAAAATAAAATTGTATATTTAACTGATTAATAGTAATTGTCCTGTACTCAAATCACCCAGCGACTATGTCTTGATAGATATTGATGATCAATAGCCATAATGGAACGTTAGGACATTTTGTGTACTTAGCAGGAAGACATTGTTTAAATGCCACCTTTACATTTTATACTACCACCCTGTCTTCAGTTTGACTATGTCAGTCGATGATTGTCACTCTGTGCTGTGAGGTTTTTAATGTCCTTGAATTTCTTTTACGGCTCAGAATTGATTCTACTGATGCGACGTCCACTCAGGGTAACTTATAATTAGCTGCAATCATGCGTAACAGACCACTGGAGGCAGCAGCCAATTACGTTGCATAAGAGAGCAGTAAGCAACTGCCGGCTCAAAAGGGTAAATAGTCCAATAAAAGTGGAGGATGTTTAAGAATGTCACTGATGAATACTGAGAGCTTCACCTCACATCTCTGCATAATGACTCATGTAATGAAGGTGTATGGAGTCAGAATGTGGCTTTTGTGTCGTTCCAAGAAATGATCCAGACTGCAAAGTACAATCATCAGTGGTTACTTGGCTTAAGAATGGATGTAAATGACAGTACATGTGTTTACAAATCAAGAAAATGGTGACCTTCTAATATATATTATAATACATCTTTTAAATATAATGTTTGTTGTATGCTTTCTCTTGTCACATCAGCCCTTTCTAATCCGAAGAAAAGTGAAAACACTGCTTTATTGTCACCGTTCTGGACCAAGCATCTGAACGAAGCCTGCATTTGCTCTTCACTGCTGTGAGCAAAAAGCAAAAGTAGAGATGTGACTATGCATACTGAACTACTGTGGCGTACCATCAGCCATCTTCTGCAAGTCCTTGAAAATGCGAAGGTGGTGAGCCAGGTCTGTCGCCAGAATGATGTCCCTCATCAGATCAAGCATGCGCTGGTAGTCCTGAAAAAGAAGAAGAAAACAACAACATAAAAATAACTTGTGCTTGTAGGTGAAAGCAGAAAATTGAATCTAAACGAGAGAGAGGACTGAGAGACATTTGTAATGTGCAATTGTCAAACTTAATATCTTACCTTCCTGGAGAACTTTTCGAAGATGTTGCAGCCGTGAGTGTTCAGAATGGCGATGGCCTGGGCAAAGTGATGTCTCTGTCATGGCGAATAAAGCATGATGGGAAAATGGTTACTTGTGAAGTGATGTTGGGTCATGTTGTAATGAAAAAAGCAAGTCAATTTACATGCCTCTCGCTGCTGCAAATTATTCAAGTTTGACCACTAGATGTCGCATTAGAACACAGTATCAGTTCTCCCCTAGAGTGAAGTTTGTTAATGATGAGGGAACAAACCAGTAAAACCAACGAGACAGTTAAGTCTGCAAGTTAAATTCTACAGGGATCACAGTCTAAAAGTATGAAGTAAAGATTTTCACAGACACAAATACACGATGAAAACACTTTGACAGTTTTCTATCAGCTCTCCCACATCCTTCCGACGTAACCATGACTTTACCTCCATCACAGATCCCTCTGAGCTGTAGAGCGCAGCCAGCACAGATTGCTGAAAATAGACACACACAGAGAAAAGAGACACAATCCTTTTAGTGTCCACATAGTACTGATAAAACAAATCATCCTGCAGTAACATACCCTGACTCTAACCATGTCAGCTTGAATATGAGTTGAAGCTGATAAAACAATGAGTGACTGTTGTTGCATAGTTAATAATGTGAGTGTGTCAGTTCGTTGCTGGAGGGTTCTGCATGATCGGAGTGGAACAGAGTGGCGTGCTCCTAATCACCATGACATCTAGTGTCTCACTGGGCCAAAGAGATACAACCTCACACTCTGAATTAAACTGTGATGTCACTGAAACACATCCAGAACCTGGCTCTTATTCATATGCTTCATCCTGAACATATAAAAGCCTACTTGTAGCAGAACCAGAGTGATATAGATGTTCATATATGTACATTTATATATATTTCAAAAAATGCCAAAAATTCCAAGGTCTTGTCATCAAACCTTATGACAAAAAAAACTGTAAAGTAAAAGTTTTTATATTGACGCATATTGGTTAAAATAAATACATTTTTATTCAATGCCTTTTCTACCGCTGCTTCGTCTTTCTGTTAGTAAGCAGGAATACACAAAAGTAAAGGATGGATTTCTATGAAACAAGGATGTGATGGGTCAAGGAAGAACTGCAGATCTGAACCAGGGGGCGGAGCTAGTGTATTGTTAGTGCCACTCTAGTTTAAACTTGTATCGTGATTACATCATTTCCTGCTTCATCTCACACCCCCTATTAAACAGAGACATTATTCGTTTTCTCACCGAGGCGACTTGGAAAGAATTGTTGGTACCACGGTGGTCCATGTCATGGCACATACAGGAGACAAAGAGAGCTAAAATCTCTATATCCCTGAAAAAGGAAGAGGACATCGGCCACTTTAGTCACATAAACAAAGCTGACGTTACATTTATTAACTGTTAAAGAAATGTGTTGCACTCACTCGAGGTAGTTGGACAGCCCTAGGTTTTTGTAGAGCAGGTAGCAGAAGTGTGACACAGAGAAGGCGTGCATCCAGTTGTGGTATGGAGGGTCTCTGTAGCCTCTCTTCACCATCAGACAAAACCTGACGAAAAGGGAACAGTTTAGTGGCTGACTCTTTATATGAATTATGTGAATTATGACTTTATTCTAACTGTTCCAACTAAATTTGTTGCACTGCTGACTTATGAAGTAGCATCAGGAAATGTCCCATCCCAACCCAACCATTACCTAGTTTAAAGAATGTAAGAAATTGGAAAAGAATACAACTTATATTCTTACTTTTCTTATCTTTTCAACATAGTCTCTATGCAGCTGTTTACATGAGTCTTTCCAAGGTGTTGAGGTTTAGGTCAAGAAAAATATGAATAATTCAGCCCACAAATTTCTCAGAGCACTTCTGGTAAACTCACAATAAAGTATTCTCATAGTTAAGAAAAGTTATAGCAACTAAACTGTACAAATACTGCATACGTAGTCAGAGAATACACACATAAACACAGGCTCATATATTTGGTAGTGATTGATTTTCAGACCTTGCGAGCGTGTGCCTGTCAATCTTGTACGTGTTGATGAAACCCATGTCTTCAAACATGCTGAGGACACACTGCAGACACACACAACAAGGTCAGTTACATTTCCTGTCTCTGTCCTCCACACTGTGTCTCTCTTCTTCCACCTTCTCCTCTTGACCAGCGCTTACCATGGGTGTGGTGTCATCAGGCAGGGAGCGCGGCGTGTATGTGAATTCAGCAAAGCATGGGTGGATCTCTGTCACCGGTTCGATCCCTATCACCAGCAGCTTAGTCACTTCTTCCTCTGATACCTGTGAAGTACACATACTGAGTCATACTGAAATGATGACGACAGTGTCAGAAAATAGACCGTGTCCGCGAGGAAGAGCGAGTGAGACGCGTGACGGGGATATTACCTTCATGTGGTACATCATCATTTCATTGGCCAGGTGGGACCTGAACTGTGCTTCACCGACCCTCTTGTACAGCAGAGACTAGAGAAACAAACACCACATTATAGCAAAATCAACAGTTTGACTATAATTGTCACATATAGTTGGATACAACACAGAAAGATGTACGGATTGGTTACAGCAGCAGAAGGAAGAAGAGGAATGAAAATAGTCTAAAAATGTATTTTCCTCTCTTCTTGTTTTTCTTTAATTTGAAATTTGCAAAAACTATTGTGTCTGTGTGTTCACCTTCAAATGGTAAACAAGAGATTTATGATTAACCAGTATGTTTTAATTTTGCCACTCTCAAAGCTTTGTCTCGTGTATAAAACATTAAAAGTCGAAGTGAACACTGCTTACAGTTCAGTCCATGAGAAGTGCTTCTTACAGCCCACATCACACTGTACCACGATACAGAGCAAGCATTGATAAATAATACATTGGGTCAATAATTAATGAGCTGCCAAGAAACCAATTATTTCCCCAATCAAATATCTTTATAGTTTTGTGGATAATCAATCGAGTACCTGCAGTTATTCAAAGGTCAGAAGATAAAGGAGCTATTTAATTTGAAGGTGAATTGGACACGCTGAATAAAATATCATCTCAGCTGTGTAAGATAAACAGTTAAAACAAAGTATCTTCATTCCTTTTTCATTTTTTTAATTAAAAATCCTCCTGAATTGTGGTGTCTGAGGGTACTGTTAGAGACCAGAGAAATCACTGCATCGTAAATCCATTTCAATCAATGTTTTCACTTTGTTCTTGTAAATGATTAAAACGATTTATAATTGCATTTTGAAACTAGAATTACCAAGCTGTGGTTGTGTGCCTCTGTCAACCACTGCAGTTTCAGGCAACATACGTTTTTCCCACTCATATGAGGTCACCATATGAATCTGTGATGGTCGGTGTCAGGTCATCTTCGAGTCCAAGTGAATATTTGTGCCAGATGAAATTCCCTATGATATATCACATTCACATGAACCGGAGGTCATCTTGACCTTGACCTTTGACCTTCAACCACCAATATGTTATCAGTTCATTTTTAAGTCAGAGTGAAGGTTTGTACCAAATTTGAGGAAATTCCCTAAAAATGTTCTTGAAATATCGTGTTCATCCATGAGTCCAACTTAACATTTGTGCCAAATTTGAAGACATTATCTTAAGACGTTCTTGAGATAATGTGTTCACAAGAATGAGATGGACAGATGCGCAAGTCTAAAACATAATGTTCTTGTCGGCACTGAGGCATAAAAACTGCTCTACAGCAACTTGCTGTTGTTCTCTGTCTATAACCTCAGTCCCATCACAGATCCAATCTCTCTAAACTTTGCTGGAGATTTTGCTCGACTCTGCCTTGTCTGAGCATTTTGCTCCCTCTGAACACAGCAAGAAGGTTCCTGGTCCAAATCCCGGTTTGTTCTCGAGTTGTTCTTTGAGTTTGTAGTTGCATGGCGACCTGTCCAGGCTTCAACCGGCCTCTTGCCCACCTGCGAGTCCCCCCTCAAAGTATAAGCAGTATAAATAATGGATGGATGAACTGAACACGTAGACAGACCTGATCCCTCTAACAGCACTTACAGACCTACCACATTGTTCTAAGGAGTAAGAGCCTCCCTAATGATGAATGCACTGCAAGTGCTTTTGGGTCTTCGTCTCTGTGCAGCTAAATTTAGTTGATGACTATGAAGCTGTATGGAGGATGACTTTATTATACTGTACATCATATTCCTTCTGTGAGCCGTGTTTAAAATCAAGTTGACTTAATGACTTAGGACTGTTTAAAATGAGTCAGTGTGTATGAAGATGAATGTGCAGCTGCAGAGAAACGGCTTTTATTCCCTTTTTAATGTGTCACACTTATTCACTGCTGCAGCTGGAAGAGATAATGAGAGAGTAATAAAGGCAAAGTGAGAAGTTTAATTTGTAACTGATAATGTTTCTCCAGTAATAGCGGTGTTTATTTGTTTTATGTGTAATATAGTTTGGCATATTTCCTTCTTTATATAAAATCAAACTCTAATCAACAAGTGGACTAATGGAGTGTGTTGAAAATTTAAAGCCTGTCCATCTTCACTTACAAGACCCCCTGGATTTTTTTAGATATAAATCTGACACAATGACCACTGGTGTGCAAAATAATTTGAGAGAGAGAACAAGAGAGAGAGAGAGAGAGAGAGAGAGAGAGAGAGAGAGAGAGAGAGAGAGAGATCACTGTCCTCCGGTTATTTTTGACCACTATGGTTAGTATTTACCCTGTGCCTCAAAAAATCACCGACTGGATATAGAGTCAAGACTTACATGAGCGATGCTGATTCCACAGTAGATGGAGAACGCCGTGGCCAGATCCTCATCGAAGCGGTTGAACCACGGCCCGTTCATTTTATTCACCAGCTCAGCCACACCGATCACCTCTGCAGGAACAAGGATTTAAAGAAAGTCAAATGGGACATAAGTAAAGGGAAGGAGAGAGGAAAAGGAGTGCGAGGGAGAGAAAGTCGATAATGAGGAAAAATGAGGAGATGAAAGTCAAGGACGAGAAAATGAGGCCCAGAACGCAACAGTCCGAGGTGGAGAACAGATGCTGAATCAAATAGGTCTGCTGACCCAAATTAATTTCACACTGGAGCTGAACCTAATTACACATAAAAAGAAGAAAGGGTAATTTTTAACTCTTATTCTGAGCTTCACAGATTTCTACAAGGAGACAAAACACACACAGAAGATACAGTAAAGTTTGAGGAGCCAGTTTTCTGTCATTTTTAAGTATAGAACACATCCACATCACCAATATTTGAGATGATGTAACAAGTCTTTGTGCTACTCTAAGAAAATGTAGCTGAGATTTTTGAGGAGAACAGGGGGAATTGATATGTACAGGAGAGTTCAACAATAGACGGTTTATAAAGATGGACGATGTGTCTTCACTTTCTCCCAGGATCCAGAAATGAAGGCAAAATATCCCAGATATATGAATGTTGCCATCTTGCGCTGAGGATGTCAACTGAAGTCTCTGCAGTAGTGATTGGGGGAGGTGGCGAGGTGCCGCTGGGTGATTTTACCAATCATGATCATGAGTCAGCCTCAGCTGTCAATCATAATGTTTCACCTAAAATTACAGTGTTCTATGTTTTAACTCTTTACTTTGGTTCATATCCCCTGCGCTAACATGGGGCAGGTGGGTCTTATGACCGATACTATAGCAGCCAACAGAGGGCGATCAAGAGCTTTGGCTTCACTTTTGAGGAGCAGTCATCGTCTACATGAGTCGTCCATCTATACATACAGTCTTTGTTTTATAAAGACCAAATAATTGATTTGCATTTGCAATGCATTTTTGTATAATGATTACATTCAATAACAAAACCACAAGAATTATCATTTATAAACCAAGACATAAATGTACCACAATCTTTATATACACTGTATGTGTTGCCTTCGTTTTTCAGTCTCCTGGACAGATCTTTAAATTCCTCTAAGTTGTCACGATATACAGCATATTGATTTTTATTTTGCATAATAAAATGCTTAAACGACATGGTGTGTGTGTATGTGTGTGTGTGTTGAACTTATTGTTACCGTTGTTCTCATCTTTGATGGGGAAACAGAGGATGTTGCGAGTCTTGAAGCCGGTGCTGTCATCCACACCTCGGTAGAAGAGAGGGTGGGAGTAGGCGTCCTTAATGTTCAGGATCTGACCAGTGGTCGCCACGTGGCCCGCGATACCCTGATCTGCTGGGATACGAAACTCCTTCTGCACTCGCACACACACACACACACACACACACAGGCACACACACAACATGTTCAACTTTGAAAGCTTCATAAGCTACTCCAACCTAAAGCTAATCTTCAAATGCTTGCATGGCCATGCTCCATTACTGCTTACTGAGTTTGTAGCAAGAAACCAACACTCCAACAGAGTGGAGCTCTGCAAAAAATGGGAACTTTCCCATCGAAATGTGAAAACACATTTGGATAATCTGTATTTTCTGTTTAAGGAGCAACACTTTGGAACTGTCTACCCACTGAGCTCAAACCACAACACAATTAAATCATTTAATTAGAGGTGTGAAATCATGGCTGTTAGACGAAAAACACTGTTCTTACATCTAATATTCCTGTTAATTTACCATTTTATGACACTGTATCTTTTTTATCGTACACTGTGTATGTTAGCACACACACAGTTAATTATTTCATAACGAGACATTGATGACTATCATCCGTTTTTTTTTTGCCATTTTTGATTGATTTGATGGTTGACACGAGAGACAGAGAGGAGAAAAGTAATTGTCCACAACCAGAGGCTGGCCTGGTGCCTTAAAGGTTTCAGTTACTGACAGTGCAATTGTAATGTGTTTGAGTCTGGATAGGCAACTTTGCGGCATGTCATTCCTCCCACTACCCCTACTCTCTGTCAGTTCCATTACCTGCTCTGCATCATGAAATATACATGATCCACTATAATATAGAGAGAAAAGCAGCATGTCGTACCTCTTCATCACTAACCACACCTCCGTCAAACACCTTTGCCACAAGCTCATGACTGACTCGATCCAGCAGGAACACGGAGCAGCTGAGGGAGCGGAGAGTGACAGAGTTAGAGTGGTGATGGAGAGCAGAGCAGAGAGAGGTTTATCTCATTCCACATCTTTTTATAACTTTTATTAAAGGAGGCAAGTCGGTTAAAAACAAATTGCCAAGATAGCCTTTGCAAATGGAGATAAAGACATGCACACTCCACACACACACACTGAAATGTCCCTTTGAAGATGAATCAGGCGGCTTACATCTCTGCATCACTTAGGTTCCTGGCCTCCACTATAATTTCCTGTAACAGCACTGATACATCATCTGAAAAAATTGAGAGAAGGAGAGAGGGAGAGAGAAAGACAGAGATGGGTGAGTGAGGAAATGAAAAGAATACAGCAAGGCTCAGACAAACACAAACAGAGATTACACCGCGAGTATCGGTTAATCAGCTGTATGAGCCGATAAGAGCTTTTGTAATCTACCGGTGGATACATTTTTAGCAGCAGTGATCATGAGGAATCATCGGTGACTTACTCTGCTGTTGGCGTGTACAGTTAGATAAGAATCTAAATGCCTCAATGTAATTACAGGACAGAGAGAGGTGGAGCCATCATCTTTAATGCCCTTTTGATTTTACGGTTATGATCCTGGGTGTAATCACCTTTAGTGTCGGTAATATCTCATTCAATTAAGAGCGCCATTCATTTCATTAGGTGATCACTTAAATATTGTCCATTAACGCAAATCATCCAGCGTTCTTCCTTCCACAGTGACCAAGAGGGTGAAGGAAAGATGGAGAGACAGAGAGGGAGGTGCGAAAAACCTACCCAAGTGTGTGAAGAGATTCTTGGCCACTTGTAGGAGTGCCTATGTCCAAAAACAGAGGGGGGAAAAGCTCTTAAAAAGAAAGATTCAGGTGCATATTCATGTATGTATATAGTGTGTGTGTGTGTGTGTGAGGGAGCATGTACAGTACCTGACACTCCACTTTGAGTTTCTGTTCTTTCTGAAAGGCCAAAGTTGAAGTGAGAACTGTTGAAGTGTAGCAGAAACAGTGCTGGATGGCATGCTCATCTGCCTCTGTGTGTCTGCACACACACACACACACACACACACACACACACACACACA